ATACAAGAAACGAAGCAGGGGTCATTTTGATAGAAAATGAGGAAAAGACGAATGGGAGGAAAGAATATTTGGAGAACCTATACGCAGGCCCTGAGTTAGGAGATATATGAGAGAAGGAAGATATTTAGGAGATAAATGATTTAGGTTATCCCATAATGAGAGAAGAGTTCGATGTAGCATTAAAAACTTAAAGAATAATAAAGCGCCAAGTATAGATCGGATACAAGGGGAAATTCTAAAACATGCACGACAAGAGGTTAGAGATTGTATGTTTAAGCTAGTTAGTTAGATTTACGAGACGGGGAAGGTCCCAGAGGATTATAAACGGAACGTGGTTGTAACCATACCTACAAAGAGAGGCGCGGATAGGTGCCAGACGTTTAGAACAATTAGCTTAACTTCCCATGCGTCAAAAATCATAACTAGAATTCTACAGAGAAGGATGGAAAAAAGGGCAGAAGAATTATTAGGGGAAGATCAATTTGGGTTTAGAAGAAATAGTGGAACGAGGGAGGCCATTTTAGCTTTACATGTAACAATAGAGAAAACGATAGAAAAAAGAAAGAGGGTGTACATTGGATTTGTAGATTTAGAAAAAGCTTTTGACAATGTTAAACGGGAAAGAATGTTAAGTATACTTAAAAATGTAGGGATAAGTTGCAAAGATAGAAGTTTGTATAAAGAGCAACAGGCAGTTATAGAGATGGGGCTGCAAAGTAGAGAAGTAAATATTAGGAAGGGAGTCAGACAGGGATCCACACTGTCACCACTACTTTTTAATGCATACATCGAAGACGCAATCAACATCATTAAAGACAGTACAACTGTAGGGAAAAGCATACAGGGGCAAAAGATCGGTAAGATTGGATTTGCAGATGATATAGCAGTATTAGGATCTAGTTAGAGATAGCCTTAAATAAAATGGAAGGGGTATTGACAAAACAGTATTTTATGAAAATAAATAAAACTAAAACAAAAATACTGGTATGCAAGAGACGGAAAAGTAGGGAAGTAGGGCAGAAGGAGTAGTAGAAATATAAAGCAGAAGAGTCGCAGGGTCGAGTCGCCTTCAATTAAAAGAAGTCATTTCTATGCTCGCGAAAGGTTAATTTAGAAATTCGAGAAAGGCTGTTAAAGGTGTATGTTTGGAGCACGGTGCTGTACGGGTGCGAAACATTTGCAGTGGGCGCAGCGGAAAAGAAAAGGTTAGAAGCGTTTGAAATGTGGTGTTTCAGGCGAATGATGAAGATACCGTGGATAGAGAAGGTTAGAAATGAAGAGGAATTGGAAAGAATAAGAGAACAGAGGACTCAATGGAAGTCAATAAGAAATAGGCAAGATAGATCAGTAGGACACCTTCTCAGGCATGAAGGTCTAGTCAGAGACATCTTAGAGGCAGAAACGGAAGTTAGAAGGGATAGAGGTAGACCCAGATTACATTACTGTTCGCATATGGGTTGTTCTAGTTATAGGGAAAATGCTAGGATTAGCTCAGGATAGAAATGAGTGGAGGTGCATGTCCAGCCAGTCTGAGGACTGACGACCTTATGATGATGATGATGAAGTGTAAACGGGCACCGAATTATAAAACAAATGTATCTTGTTGCTGCTATATAACAGTACTTTTATGGTGTAGTAGGAAATCTAATAAAATTATCGTAATAGGCACGTGTTATAACCACCCGTGCCCGGGTGTTACAAAATAATAAGAGATGTTGTTTTCCAGTTTAGTTTTATTCAGTTTTATGCAGAATACTTGAAAGAAGCAGTCAGCCGTAATAATTTTCAGCCTATCACTCGCCTCTTTTAAAAAATTCCATGAGTTATTTTCCGCTGAAAGAGGTGTTTATAATAAATCAAAATTTATTATTAGAATCAGTGATAATACTGTACCAATTTTTTGTAAAGCTAGAAGCATTCCGTTTGCATTAAAAGTAAAAGTTTCAAAAGAAATTGATAGACTGGTGAAAGAAGGAATATTAACTCCAATTGAGGTAAGTGAGTGGGGCACACCAGTAGTTCCAATAGTTAAACCCGATGGGTCAAAAAGGATTTGTGGGGATTATAAAATTACAGTAAATAAGAATATATTAGTTGAGCGACACCCACTACCTCGAATTGAACATTTAATAGCGAGTTTACAAGGTGGTGTTTATTTTTCAAAAATCTATGTAAAAGAAGCTTATGCACAGGTGCAACTAAGTGAAGATTCAAAAAAATATCTAGTTTTAAGCACGCACAAAGGTTTATACCAACATAATTCTCTGCCATACGGCATTGCTTCGGCACCGGGGTATTTCCAAGATCAGATGGAACAAATTTTTGCAGCAATGGCTGAGGTGACTATTTTTCTAGATGATAACGTGAAAGAATTGCAGGCCTTTTTGGGCATGATAAATCATTATGATATATTTATTAAAGATCGGGCAAGTACATTTCAACCTTTATATAAATGTTTAAAGAAAGATAAGCTTTGTTGGACGGAAGCATGTCAAAAAGCATTTCAAATAGCTTTAAAATCAGCCGAAGTTTTAATAAATTTTGACCCGGGCTTTCAGCAATACTCGCCCATGAGACACCTCGAGGGGACCGACCTATTACATACGCTTCAAAGTCGTTATCACCAAGTGAGAAAAATTATGCAACAATTCAAAATCATTTTTAGAATAACCATATTTTACGACTACTTTTACATGAAAGAGTTTGAATTGCGAACCGACCATCAATCATTAGTAAGAATTTTTGGCAATAATAAAGGAATTCCTCTTATGGCTGCGCGACGACTTCAAAGATATGCTGATTTTTTAAATGCTTTTAAATACGATATTAAATATATAAAATCAAAAAATAATTGTACAAACGCGTTATCGCGTTTACCTGCGCNATAAATGTCCCGTTCGTATGTTTTTCAAACGTCCTTTGTGGATGTTTTATGAATATACGAAACTGTGACATTCGTCTATCCATACTACATCCTGAAGACGTCCGCCGAACATGAAACGGATTTGTATAAGATATCCTTAAAATCCAAGATGGATGTTTTTTTTAACATCCTATGGATATTCATGTGCTGTATGGGATGGTCGTGTCGCCTTCAACAAAAAGAAATCACTTCTATGGTCGCAAACGGTTAATTTAGAAATTCGAAAAAGGTTGTTAAAGGTGTATGTTTGGAGACCGGTGCTGTACCTACGGGTACGAAACATGGACAGTGGGCGCGGCGGAAAAGAAAAGGATAGAAGCGTTCGAAAAGTGGTGTTACAGATGAGGATACCGTCGACAGGTTCGAAATGAAGAGGTATTAGAAAAAGTAAGAGAACAGAGGACTCCATGGAAATCAATAAGCAATACGCGAGATAGGTTAGTAGGACACCTTCTCAGGCATGAAGGTCTAGTCAGAGACATCTCAGAGGTAGAAACGGATGTTAGAAGGGGTAGAGGTGGACCTAGATTAGATTACTGTTCGTAAATAGTTAAGGATATGGATTGTACTAGTTTTAGGGAGATGAGAAGATTAGCTCAGGATAGGAAAGAGTGGAGGTGTGGGTCTAACCAGTCTTAGGACTGACGACGTTATGATGATGATGTGGTAGATTATTCTATTATGCCTCATAATGCGATTATAGACAGGGATTTAGCTGTAAGGTGATTTTATCTAGATACACGAAAAGATACAATCATCCAACATAAACATGAATTTGTGGGAACAAACACAGATATATCTCTGGCAATGGAGTATCAAACCGGTATCTTTTGTTAGCAAAATAAATGAATAAAAAGTAGTTCTACAAGTATTATCAACATCCTCAAACACAGAATGTGAGGTACGATCAAAAGTTCAAAAAATATTTATCTGTTCTCAAAAGCACTACCAAGAAAAGAAGGCAAGGAAAAGTCTATGCAAACCCTGAATATTAACAGATACATCTGAGAAAATGGAACTTGAGTTAGAATCAAAGAAAGCAAGAAATACTCAATGAAGACAACAAACAAAATTAAACGAAATATTTCTAAAAGCAACAATCCACAGAAAAGAAATACAACTACGGAAAATGATGATGAAGATAATACTGAGATGGCAATGAGGATGAATGTATCAGTCTTTACTGTATTCAATGCAACTTCGCATTAATTTTCAAAGGCCCCTTGTAACAAATTGTGACATGTAGGTTATACACATATTAATCGGCGTATTCAAATTTTCTGTTTTGTGTATAAAGTAGTAAATGAAAAGAGTCTTCGATTTACAAATGTTCCTGAATTAAACTTTGTTTGATTATATTAAATTTCTTTTTATTTAGTCAACAATTTATAATAAAACACAAAATCACCTTTTACGGCTATTTTTATATGTAGCAATCCTCCCGAAATCTCATACCTCCCACATAAGGAGAAGATTGTATTAGTATAGGTAAAATTCGACAGGAAAAAAAAAACCTTAAAGTTGAACCTCTAAATTATGAAATTAAAATTGCGTTTCTGGAGTATCTATTCCGTAAGTCTCACAAAAATGTATCAATCCTCTATGACTCATCTAGAGCAGGTTTAATGTTGTGTTCGTGCGTAAAAACTAAACTGAATAAAATCGGTTGAATACTTACTCGCTTTAGCAAATATAAAACCGAATCACACTTGGTGCTGAATTAACTTCTTACGTGGTGTACAAAAAAACATGAGCAAAAACCACTCTTCAAAAAATATATACACATACATATATAATGTCTTTGGCATGACAGTGAGACAAAAAAAATGGAAAGCATTGTTTATTATGCATATTACAAAAAACTAAGCAAAACATGAAAACTACTGGTACTGTTTGGTGAGTAAAAAAAAACTAAGATGAAAGTGAGGTGCACACTACTCTGGAGATGATCAACGAAGGGCTTTCAAGGCACCTAAAATAAGAAAAAATGCTTTTTAGTCTTTATTTTAACTTTTATTTTTCAATAAAGTTTATAACATTTCTTATATTATGAAGGATTGACCACCCCATTGAGAAATTAAAAAAAAAAGAAGTAATGTTACTATTGTGTATTATAAAAATATCAGAAAAATTAGAATCTGCACTGTATATAATACCAAGGAATAATAATGAGGTAACTTATTTTTTGATACCAAGTTTATATTATATACATATTATACTCAACTACATACAAAACCTGATTACCATTAGCAAAATATGAAAAGGTACAAAGAGTTTCAAAAGAAACTCATAATAATTCAGTGTATCATGACATTATTTCTTATATGTCCATTTCATGTTCATGCTCCTGATTTTTTAACTATATAACTATATACAGATATATGTTTATCAATTTATATCAGAATTAAAACAAAATTTTTAAAATTTTATGATTTGGACCAAAATTTACTTCCTGAACGTATACCTTTAGCCTTTGTAGCCTTTTTTCCTTTTTCTGCAGATACTGCTTCCCTGTTATCAGTTGTCATTACTTCTTCTGAACCATCTGATCGTTCTTGAAGCTGGGTTTTCAATGTTTTCTTTATATTGACAATCTGGAATAATTTAAAGAAATATAAAATATACATATACATATATATGTATATGACTATATTTATCACCTCTTGTTCAATTTCAGATTTTCGTTGCAAACTTCGATTTTTTTCTGAATTTGCCCTATGAATCTGTGATTCTACACATGATAGTACATTTTCACATTCTGAGCACCAATCTTGAAGGCAATTTACTATTGTAGTTATATCAGCTGCTCTAATATCTCTTCCTATTGCATAATCTACTTCCAACTGGCTGTTTTTCTGATCTAATTTTCCATGAATAATATCTTGCAAAATAAAGAATATTTTTATTTCATTTATCTCTTGATTGCATGTACACTTTTACCTGCATAAATGGCTTCAATGATTAAATCTTCCAAATCCCTAACATTCTTAATTCCTAACTCGTCTAGCAGTGTATTATATGGGATACACTGTAAAAAAAGTTTAGTATAAATAAAACCACATCCACGAAGGAATTACTTTTTAACAAAAGCTTATTAAGTCATTATAACTATTTAGATAATTTTCTTAGTACAAAACCCACCCTTTAAAATAATATGAAGTAAAAAAATTATACATCATTATCGTAAGAGCAGAGCCAAGCAACAGCTCACCTTAGATTTTGTAGCAAGAGTCACTATTGTTAAATGTTGTAACTTCTTTTTCTGTGAAGGAGTTAGTTGTAAAAAGCTGGAAGTATTTGCCAGGTAATCTTTAAATGTTCCATATGCAAACAAATTTAATGTATCCCAGTATGGTTTGTAATTAGAATTAGCTAACTAAGGAAAAATAATTATCAATGGTGCTCACTTTGTTATTCATTTAAACAAACCTCAGAAATACTAGGCATGTCGATTAATTCTCCAAAAACATATACTCCAGGTGATTCTAGTACCTGTTTTACTAATTCCAAACAAGCAGCCCCTTTTGCTGTCTTGGCAAGTAGTACAAACTGCTCTAAGGGGTTATTCATATGCGAACCTTTTTCAACCACCATTTTCAATTAAATACGTAGAATGCTATATAAAACAACACTGGGTACAAATTTATTAAATAAGTTCTGAGCAGTGAGCAGAACAATTTAAATCTATTGTTCACCGGTTTTCTGATTTACACATTGATATATACAAATTGGTAATTGAAAAACCGAATTAAATTACGTAACTTTAATTTAAACTCTCACTGTGTAATACAGCAGTTAATAAAACAGTGGCATTTGTGTAAATTTAGAAAGCAATTTTCATTTCTTCTTGATGCCTTTAAAATGACAAACCATAAAACGTACGGAGCGACCTTTGAGCACAATCTATCAATTCAACCACTTGGACAATTGAAGTCATGAGTTGCAGTCATTGAATGTTCACCCGAAAAGAACATTGTCCAATGAAACAAATAGATTAGATATCGTTACTGAAATACGTAACGATTAATTATTTATAGAGAGGAGTTTCTTACATGCATACGACCGACCAATCAAATTGTGTTCTCTTATTCATGAAAAGTATTAGACAAGGTAAACACTATTAATTGTGTCATAAAAAATATGGCAATAAGGAACTAAGACGTTCAAGGGTTTTTATTTCATGAGCTCCTATCGAAATAGTTTGTTTAAAAAAGTTAGTTCATGTTATATTTAAAACAAGTAAGCGAAAAAATTAAAAAAATCAATTTTTTGTTTCCTTTTTCTTTACTTTTATGCAAATAACTTTTTTCTGTAGAGAGATAATTATAGGCATTGCTTTTTAGAAAAGAATGTATATTAAGTTCCCTACAAAATCATATTGTTTTATACAGTATTTTTTGTAACAGAATTGATTCTCATTCAATAAATATTTTCAAAAATGTATGATAGAGCTAGTAATAGTAATCTTACCTTGTGAAACGTATTAATAAACAAGCTCAATAGTACTTATGTAATAACTCAGTCTCAATTTTATCTAGCCGATGCTACATAACTACTTTCTTCTTAATTTTCTACTAATTCCCTAATTTCTTTCAATTGTTTGGAATCATGAGTAGTGTGTTTTGGCTGGTTTTGTTATAATAATGAGGTAAATAGAGATTATTGCGGTAATAAAAGCAAATTCCTTAAATTAGCGCACTCGTCTAAAATAAGCAGTCCTGGGAAATAAGGAATGGAGGGCCTGATTTAAAAAAGAGGACTGCTGGTGCAAAAAATCAAATAACTGAACATAAATATTAAATAAAAATAATTGCAGTCGGTAATATTTAGTTACTTCAATTCAACTTCGCCTGTAGTCAGTCGTAGAATATTAAGTAAATACTAGTTGAATGATACAGAGAAGCAATCAATTCACCTTGAATGAATTATTGCTTTATATCAAAAAGTTTATTTAAGGAAAGTGTGTATTTATTAACCTTAAAACTGAATCAGAATCAATCAATTAAACTAATATAAACGCTTTTATTAATCAAGAAGCTGAGCAAGGAAGTTAACGTTTGCTAGTTTTAAATCTATACAATATACTTACACATAAACATTAAATACAATGATTGGAGTGTGTTATATTTAATTACTCTCACAATCAGTCAGCCTCGCCTGTGGTTTTATTAGCCAATCTTTGAAGTAAAATTAAATAAATATGAGTTGGGTAGCACAGACAAACAACCAGTTAACTTTAAATAAATATTTGCTTTATTCTAATCAGCAGGTAAGCAGGTTCAGATGGATGAACTTCATTTTCGCCCCATTTTTGGATCGCAACTTCGTACGCACAGCGGCTTCTAATTGTTCTCGTAGTTCGCCCACATACGTCTGTAGGTACTGGAAAGTCTCCAGGATGACCAAATATGATGTCTACTGAGTTTTTGTCTTTCCCAAATAAAATGCTGGCCGGTGTTCTTTCACTTGTTTCGTGGATGGTGTACCTATAAGCTAAGGGAAATAGTGCTACCTGTCGGTCAGGGCTAGTTTGGTGTACGTTGATGGAACTCGTTACATTGATCTCCAGAGTAGCGTTCAATCTTTAAACCACTCCATCAAATTGGGGATGTATGGACGTAGTCCTCGTTTTTGTTTTGTCCATTAATTCAGTGACCTTGAACAAAGTCTCAGCAACGGTGTGTGCTTTCTGATTCAGTATAGCATATGTTTCAGGCCACTTGCTAGAATAATTTACAGCTGCTAAGATGTATCGGTTACTAGAGTTACTACTGAGAATGGTCCTACTACGTCAAATTCTATTCTCTAAAATGGTGCTCCCTCGTTGTACTGCTGCATCCGTCTACGACTACTTGTCTTTGGTTCCTTACTGGCGACGCATGTTGTTCATTTCGTGCTCTTCCTAAGACTTGTGAAAGTCTGTTCTTCGGTAGTACCGCTTGAAGTATATTTCTGGTTCCTTCTCGACTCTTCCACATTCTTTTCAACACGCCGTGGGGGGAAGTCCACTGGATCCAACAACTTTTCGTTGATGGATCATATCTGCCCACAATGGTCTTGAGGTTCCAGCTTCTTTCCATCTCATTATTGGACCAATATATTCGTCATTCCTCTGGTGATCGACTAATATCATCTTCCCGTGATCCCTAAAGCTAAACGATGGTTAGATTACAATTACAACCAGCACAAATTATCTTATAGATGCGTCAAGAACGTTCTTAAAACAAATGTTTTCAGGAATTAAGCTGTATATTTATTGTTCTACAATATTCTTACAACCTTAATAAGTGATCTATAAGTGTAAAAGACAGATCCGAAGGGACTTGAAGTTTGACGAAACTCTTGTACAAACTAGAGTGGCTGGATCGGCTTGCGAGTTTCGATGATTTAGGGAACCGGACCATTGGTTCAACCATAATGGGGGGGGGGGTTCTTAAAGAGAAAGGCAAGTGCAAATGAGATTTTAGGATTAATAGAATAAAGGCGGAAATTTAGAAATAGGACAGACGAAGAAGGGCAAAAAAGATATAAGGCTATAAAGTGAGAAATAATTTGGATGTGATGTGTAGGGTAGCTAAGCATTAATAGGATGTGTAAAGAAGTAGAAGGAAAGTTTGAAGTAGGTAAAACCGATGAGGCGTATAATATAATTAAAAGGTATTTTAGATGTAGGGGTACAGTAGTAATAATACAAGAAACGAAGCAGGGGTCATTTTGATAGAAAATGAGGAAAAGACGAATGGGAGGAAAGAATATTTGGAGAACCTATACGCAGGCCCTGAGTTAGGAGATATATGAGAGAAGGAAGATATTTAGGAGATAAATGATTTAGGTTATCCCATAATGAGAGAAGAGTTCGATGTAGCATTAAAAACTTAAAGAATAATAAAGCGCCAAGTATAGATCGGATACAAGGGGAAATTCTAAAACATGCACGACAAGAGGTTAGAGATTGTATGTTTAAGCTAGTTAGTTAGATTTACGAGACGGGGAAGGTCCCAGAGGATTATAAACGGAACGTGGTTGTAACCATACCTACAAAGAGAGGCGCGGATAGGTGCCAGACGTTTAGAACAATTAGCTTAACTTCCCATGCGTCAAAAATCATAACTAGAATTCTACAGAGAAGGATGGAAAAAAGGGCAGAAGAATTATTAGGGGAAGATCAATTTGGGTTTAGAAGAAATAGTGGAACGAGGGAGGCCATTTTAGCTTTACATGTAACAATAGAGAAAACGATAGAAAAAAGAAAGAGGGTGTACATTGGATTTGTAGATTTAGAAAAAGCTTTTGACAATGTTAAACGGGAAAGAATGTTAAGTATACTTAAAAATGTAGGGATAAGTTGCAAAGATAGAAGTTTGTATAAAGAGCAACAGGCAGTTATAGAGATGGGGCTGCAAAGTAGAGAAGTAAATATTAGGAAGGGAGTCAGACAGGGATCCACACTGTCACCACTACTTTTTAATGCATACATCGAAGACGCAATCAACATCATTAAAGACAGTACAACTGTAGGGAAAAGCATACAGGGGCAAAAGATCGGTAAGATTGGATTTGCAGATGATATAGCAGTATTAGGATCTAGTTAGAGATAGCCTTAAATAAAATGGAAGGGGTATTGACAAAACAGTATTTTATGAAAATAAATAAAACTAAAACAAAAATACTGGTATGCAAGAGACGGAAAAGTAGGGAAGTAGGGCAGAAGGAGTAGTAGAAATATAAAGCAGAAGAGTCGCAGGGTCGAGTCGCCTTCAATTAAAAGAAGTCATTTCTATGCTCGCGAAAGGTTAATTTAGAAATTCGAGAAAGGCTGTTAAAGGTGTATGTTTGGAGCACGGTGCTGTACGGGTGCGAAACATTTGCAGTGGGCGCAGCGGAAAAGAAAAGGTTAGAAGCGTTTGAAATGTGGTGTTTCAGGCGAATGATGAAGATACCGTGGATAGAGAAGGTTAGAAATGAAGAGGAATTGGAAAGAATAAGAGAACAGAGGACTCAATGGAAGTCAATAAGAAATAGGCAAGATAGATCAGTAGGACACCTTCTCAGGCATGAAGGTCTAGTCAGAGACATCTTAGAGGCAGAAACGGAAGTTAGAAGGGATAGAGGTAGACCCAGATTACATTACTGTTCGCATATGGGTTGTTCTAGTTATAGGGAAAATGCTAGGATTAGCTCAGGATAGAAATGAGTGGAGGTGCATGTCCAGCCAGTCTGAGGACTGACGACCTTATGATGATGATGATGAAGTGTAAACGGGCACCGAATTATAAAACAAATGTATCTTGTTGCTGCTATATAACAGTACTTTTATGGTGTAGTAGGAAATCTAATAAAATTATCGTAATAGGCACGTGTTATAACCACCCGTGCCCGGGTGTTACAAAATAATAAGAGATGTTGTTTTCCAGTTTAGTTTTATTCAGTTTTATGCAGAATACTTGAAAGAAGCAGTCAGCCGTAATAATTTTCAGCCTATCACTCGCCTCTTTTAAAAAATTCCATGAGTTATTTTCCGCTGAAAGAGGTGTTTATAATAAATCAAAATTTATTATTAGAATGCGTGATAATACTGTACCAATGCTAGAAGCATTCCGTTTGCATTAAAAGAAAAGGTTTCAAAAGAAATTTGTAATATCCTAAGGATAAAGAAATAAGACAGAGGGTTTGCTGCGTATCGTTTTATTATAAACTGAACATTAATACAAAAATCCGACACACTAGCAGCATTGCTAATGTAGCCGTTCCCCCACCGTGAGGCGTACTACACGTACAGTGTACTCTCCCCTACTTAATCTTAACCTACCGCTTTTATTACTGTTACCTAAGTTACATATGCTAATAAGGTTTTACTTTTTGTTAATTGCACATCGAGCTGATCTTCTTAACTGAAGTT